CGTTTCTCTTTTGATGTCCATTTCTCCATCAAATTCTACCCCTCCCCCCAGACTCTTCTAGTTTCCACTCTGCACCCCCAAACCTCCCTATTTCTCAGTCCACCCAGGTCTCTAATCTTCTGCAAACCTAACTCTTCTTCTCTTTCCCTGCCCCTCCCCCGTTCCATCTCTATCCCCGCCCCCATCCCACCTCTACTCCCAATTCCCAGCTCAGCGCCACTCCATCTCTTATCCCAATCCTACCTCCCCTGCCCCACCTCCCTATCTCCTCCACACCCCTCACCTGGCCCTCTGCTTTACCTTCTGGGCTCCCCCTGAACGCTTTCCGGCCACCCGCTTGTCCTCCCATCCCTGCTGGGGTCTCTCTACCCGGGTCCCATCCCTAGGTCGCCCCCTCCTCGTCGTTCCCTCCTCAGTCCTTCCTTCCAAAACACACACGCACGCGCGCGCGCGCGCACACACACACACACACACACGCATTCACTTTACCTTCAGTTTGTTCCATTCTAACCCCCCGGCCGTGTCAGTACGATCACAGGAGAGACACGGAGGCCCGGAGTGGGGCTGGGGTGCGGGCAGCCGCCGGGGCTGCGGGGGGAGGAGACGGAACCGAGCTAGGCCGCATGAAATCCCCGGGCTAGATTTCCCTCGCGCCGGACGCCTCTGCCATGGCTGCCGGCACCGAGGAGGGCCGCGGCCGGGCCGGGCCGGGCGTGAAGCTGAGAGGAGGAAGGCTGCGGGAGGTGGGGTGGGCAGGGGCGGTGGAAGGATGGGGGGTCGCCGCGCAGCCTCTGCTGCTAGAGAGAAGGCTGTGGCTGGCGGCCGGGCCGGGGCAGCAAGGTCCTCGGGGGCTCGAGTTGGCTTTCGCACGCCTCTCCGCACCGACCAGTGGACAGTCCCCTTCGGCCTCCGCCTCCGTCCTCGCCGCCGCTGCCGCCGCCGCCCGCTCCCGCCGCCGCCGCCGCGCACAAAGCCCCCCCACCCGGCTCTCGGAGCGCCGCCGCCGCCGCCGCCGCCGCCGCCGCCGCCAAATCCTCAGCCCCTCATTGGCCGCTGGCCGCGGCGCCTGCCGGGAAATGCAGTCCCTGGTTTGCGGCGCAGGGGGGCGAAAGGAGGAAGAGGGTAGTCGGCGGGGCGGAGAGGAGCGGCCCGAGAGAGTCTAGACAAGAAGTGAGACCGCAGGAGATAAAGGCAGAGACAGGAAGGAATGATACGAAGGAGGGTAAAAAACAAACAAACAAAAAAACAGAAGACAGGTTAAAGGTTGGGCCTATGAGGTAAAATTGCGTTCGTGCGTATTCTTCGAGACTTGTTCAATAACAGCACATATTAAACACCATATGGTACTCCTCAGAGTGACACTGCTGCACACTCCCTAGATGTTAGAAACAACCTACAAACGAGTGCCGGGTTAAGGTGACCGGGAAAGGGAAGAACAATTTGTGTGCCTCCTTGGGTGCCTTCTGTCCGACAGCTGTCAGAGTCAGGGCTTCCTATTTCACACGGGTCTGCGTAAGGAAACCGTAGCAGCAATTTCAGACCTGAGCCGTGGGGAACAGTCTCTCTTTCAGCCTCGGATGTGAGTCCCGGATGCCCCCCCGCCGACCCCCGTCCCGCCCCACGATCGCAAGCCGTGGCGGCATCTCAGTCAGGGTGAGGAAGCGCTGACCTCCCTGGCAGCCACCGGGCCCCGCACGCCTTCTTCCTGCTCGCACTGCGGGCCCGGAGGCTTGTGGGTAAAGAGGAGGACGTCAGCGCCGACTGCGGCCCGGACCCCTAGGGACCCAGAGAGCTCGGTGCCCGTCACGTGCCTGGGCCCTCTGCTGCTCACTGCCAGACCTTCGCTTCGAGGGATGGGAGGGCATCAGTCCTCGAGAGAACTCACGCAAGAAAGAGCGGAGGAAACTGGAGTCAAAATTCTCTGTAACCCTCTAAGCCCTCGCCATGCTAGGAAATTGGTGTTAAACAATGGAAGGTGTGTGACACAGTAAAGTCGTCTTGCCGGAGTGTACAAAATTTGGTGATATTTCCTGGGGCCTGGTGGTGATGACTTAGAACGCTGCGGCACAGAGACTTGAACGTACGAAGGAAATACAGGCAGCAGCAATCAGATGAGGAAACCTATACTCTGCGCTCTGTTCTGAGAATAATAAAGCTGTGTCACTCCTAGATGTTATATTCTGCACCGACATTATAGTTCTGGATCTGTTTGGCACGGCCACAAGAAATTTCTGATATCTTTATCTTTAAATACCATTTAAACAAGAAATTAAAAGATTCCTACCGATCAATTATTTTAATGACTACTAATTATGTTTCAGGTTTTTAAAAAACATAACCCTTTAATTATACTATAGATGATACTGAGAATTAAGCATTCTCATTACTGTTAGTCATTAACTATTTTTTTCTTAAAGATTTATTTACTTATTTGACACGGAGAGAGAGCACTACAAGCAGAGGGAGAGGCAGAGAGAGAGGGAGAAGCAGGCCCCCTGCTGATCCTGGGATCATGACCTGAGGATCATGGGATCCTGAGATCATGGGATCATGACCTGAGCGGAAGGCAGATGCTTAAACAACTGAGCCACCCAGGCGCCCTATTCATTAACTATTTCTAAACATATGCTTATGTAGTACCTGTTTTGTGCAGTACCAAAAGTTAAACGAATCAGTAAAAAGCACATTTTTTTTAAAATGTCTTTTTAGAACACAGACCTCTTAAAGAGGGCCTCCTGAGCTTATTTCAGTTTGATTGTGTCTCCTGGAAAGAGGTTAAATTGGTCTTTTTCCCCCCTATGATCCTTTCTACCACCATCCTTCCTCTCCATCTTCCTGTATACTCCTTGCTTTGTTGATAAACTGTTGCCTTGACCAGACACCTGGATTATCCCCTTGAGGAGAATCTGGTAAATTGACCTCAGGGATTTTATTTTAATCTGTTTCTAGGCTGACAAGAGTTGAAAATTAAAGTTCTGTGAAGTAGATATATAATCTCTTCCTGCAAAACTTTAGAAAATATACTGTTAATAATATTTGCTCTTGAGCCATATCTAGGGAAATGGCCATTAAAATTAATAATTTACATTTTTAGCATCTAACATCTTCTGAGGTTCAGATAATGCTTTCTCTTCTCCATACAAAATGAGCAAACAGTTCATTAAGACAGCAATCTAACACAATTCCCAGGGCCAGAATTAAGGAGAAAGGAATTTTTTGTTTCTCTTCCGAAGATCATATCCAAAAACTCCTTACATGATAAATCACTTAAATCCTGAAAGTGAAAAAAATTGCCAGGCCTGACAGCAGAAGGCAAACATTGCTTTGAACAAAGGGATTTCAATAGGAAGGTTCTTAACCCTTCCCTTTTCAGAATAGGATTGCTGACATATGACTGTAGTAGAAAATCTAGCTCATCTTTCCAATACTGAGCTTGGAATCATTCATCTGGTTTATGAATACTTAATGATTTTACGGTGCCTGTTTGTGAGTGAATACAATGCATGAATAAGAATATTTCCTGGTATAAAATGTCTCCCAGGGAACTGAAAGGAGTATTTTTCATCTTTATGATCTTTTCCAGAAAAGTACATGTTCATGTTAGTACAGTGATTAATTTTTGAATTAATGTGAAAATTGTAACTATCTGGACTTTTAGAGCTCAAAATTTGCCATCGGGAATTTTCAGGAAAGGAAAGGGAAAGAGACCAAAGCTTTGTAGATTTTGTTAATTCTAGTAAACATAGAACATGAAGTGAAACCTTTATGTAGAAACTCGGGCATAGAGCATGCACAAAGGGCCCTCTAGTGGCCAAACTGAAAAGTTCTGCCTATTTAACATGGTTGATCCATTTGGCTATTAACTGAAAAATGCTTTGTGGATTAAAAGCAGTCTACATTAAAAACAACAAAACAAAACAAACCTGAAATTAAATACCCGCCATCTTTCATTCTTATAAATGTGCAGCCTAGATGAGAGAGGTCTCTGGTCAACTCACATGTTAAGAGAAGTACTCTCCCTGTGAAAGCGAGTCCTTGTTGTCTGGTGTTAGCCCAAGTAGAGCCACTAAAAATTTTGTTTTCCTTCTAGAGCCAGATGAAATGGATGGGTAGAGATAACAGGAGAGCGAGAACATTTCTGTATCTTTCATTTTTCCAAGATGGCTCAGTTACCCAACCTAGGAACTGAAGTGCCCCAAACCTGCAGTGCCTACCTACGTCACTGCACAGTTACTATAATATACATCTTAAGTGTTGATACTTCTCCACAAACTACTGATCATAAACAATACCTGATAAGAGAGCATTTATAAAGCAAATTACTTTAGTGGAATTCAGATTTCCATATGAAGATTTCACAGCATTCCACTCTTAGGCCCCGGAGAAAGGAAAGGGATGTTTTCCTAACCATTCCCGCCCTTTCTGCCACTCCCTCTCCGCAGAGCTCTCCGCGCCATCCCAACCCCGGCAGTTGTTGATTTGGGGGGGGGGGGGGGTACATCAAAGTGATGTAATTCGTGACTTTAAGATGGTTACCATGGCGACTATCAGGCATATTACGCTATCGGTAGGGTAAAAGGTTCTTTAATCTAGCCTTTAATGAGGATTTTCGGGGAGGTTAGCCCACAGCCCAGAGAGTGTAGACAGGCGGAAAGACGTCACTCTTGCCCCCTCCCGCAGCACAGACTCTGCTTAAACTAAACCCGATAGAGAGGTCATTTCGCCGGTGGGAACCGGACCTTGGCTGCCTCCAGGGCTGCCACAGCAAAGGACGTCCTCCCTCCCCATAATCTGAGAGCTCATTGGTGAGTGGTGTCGTCACTCAGAGTGACGTAACGGGTTAGGAAAGAGGTGGAGCCATAGAAACTTGGCCTGGGGCCCTTCTAGCTGGGGAGCTGGGGGAGGGGGGTTTGGGAAGGAACTGGAGGATTGAGGCAGCCGTTCCGGGGAGCCGGCCCGAGGAGGTAGGGGTGGGCGGGCCAAGTCCTCAGGCTGTTATTTGGTGGACCTTGCCTGCCTTTTTTTCCTCCGGAGCCCGTTCTCTCCGCATCCTGCTCTTCCCATCAGCGCCCAGGTTTCCCGACAGCTTCCAGTTCCCCACCGCACTTGCCTCAGCCCTTGACCTCGTGCCCCTGCCCGCCCCCCAACTTTGGAGTTCAACCTCCATTTCCCCTCCTTCTGTGCTCCGCTTCCTCCTCCGTACCCTGCGCCCGGCTTCTCCTTGTCTTCCTTCCATAAACCTGGATCGCCAACAAGGTTGTCGTCCCCGTGCCTGCACCATCCCCGCACCCAAACACAAAGAACCGCCCCCCAACCCCCAGACCCCGGTACCGCAAACACAGTCCACCAACACACTACGTGCACAAAAGCCGCCGGCTGCGGAAGCCGACGGCGCGTTTTGCCCCTGTGTCGTCAAGGGCCAGAAGCAAAGGTAACCCGGGGAGCCTGGGGCCCCCGCGTGTGGGCGTGGGCGGCGCGAAGGCGCAGGCGGGGCTCCCGGCCGTCCCCGCCTAGGAAGTGGTTCCCCGCAGCTTCGGGCGGGAGTGCCCAGGGGTCAGAGAGCGGGTTAACCGCTCGATCGGGTGTGGCATGCCTCCGGCAGGAGACCACCCGCCCTTAGCCTGGGTTTAGATGTTCCGAAGGATTCTTTGAACTCCCGTTCAAAATGTCAGCTCTGTGGTTGAGGTTTCCGTACAGGAGAGCACCCTGGTCTACGCCTTTTCCAGCTGCAGGAAAGTAGTGTTGACGTTAAGAGATAATACCAAAACATCTTGCTGCCCTTGACTGGAAAGGACCACAGGATGGAGAAAGGTTTTGATAAAGCTTGTTTAAAGGTAGTTCAGTTTGATCTCTTTGGAGAATCACCAGTACAGGAAACCGATTTACCTGCACTTGAATCATTAGTAGGTACCATGTGTATCTTCACTGCTACATAAATGTGGTTAGTGAGTACTTTTTTTTTTTTTTTAGGTAGGCTCTGTGCCCAACGTGGGGCTTGAACTCATGACCCTGAGATTAAAGAATCCAATGCTCTAGTGACTGAGCCAGCTAGGTGCCCCTTTCAATCTTCAAAGTTTGGGGCAACTTGGCCAAGTATGGGAAAAAGCTAACTGAAACAAATCCAGGGTATTTTATTCTACCTGTATTTTTAGGCTACAAAAAAGTATGTATTGCTTAGCTTCTTAAATACCTGGCAACCATTCAAGTAGGTTGCTAGGTGTTATTGACCAGAAATAAAAAAGTCTTTGAAGACCATATAACCATCATGAGCACCATGATGTTAGAGATCATTTCTACTTGTTGGGATCTCAAAGTACCATTCTCAAATCCAAGCTGAGAAAACATTCATGATTGTTGGAAATGATCTTGAGAGAGGGTTTACACCTTGAATGGAATATGGAAATTTTCTACCCTTGCAATAGTAAACACTGAAATCCTGGTATCTTTATAATTGGTGTGTCTTTAAAATACTAAATTGTTTACTTAATCCTTCTGTCTAGGTTCCCTTGTTGACTAGTTGAGACAAATATAAGCATGGCCTTCTACAGTTATAAAACAGTCTTAGCTATTGCCCGAACAAGGTAAGCTGTGGAATCCCCTCTTCCCCTGCAATATTTATATGAACTTTCTTCTAGAAAAAGATATATGTAAAAGGATAGGCTTGTTCCACAACAAATGAAAGCTTTGTTGCCTTTAACTATTCTGGTTTTTAGGAAGCTGACATTTTATTGTATTTACACTTACCCCAGATTTTCTATATGCCTTAGAACTCAGGCTGAGTAATTTTTAGATGTATGGCACAGGGAAGAGAGAAGATGTAATGGTTTCACGGTGACACCTCTGTAACTAATGAATGTTACATGGGGCCCTTAGATAGAAAAATGAGTAAAAAGGCTGGCAAACAAGCCAGTCCTAGGACATATACCTGCCCTCGTAGGGTCTGTTATCACTTATTTATTCCAAAGAATATTCACTGAGAACTTACTATGGGCCAGATACATTGTACATTTTCCCTTTTGGCCCTTCAAAAAGTGCTTTATCTTGGTGTGCTTTAAAAACAGTCTGAAAGAATGGAAAAGCCCTCTCTTTGCCAGAAGAAATGTCTTTGCCAGGAACTTTCTTTGCCTAGATGGGTCTTATTTTTATTTTCAAACAATCTCATGTGCTAATTTAACTGAAGATTTTGAGCTGTTGCAAAACTAGAAGGTAGAGATCCCTGGCTAGGGTGCCCAATTCTAATTCTTATTCCTAACATTCTTGAGGAATTGGAGGTGAAGGACATTTGGGCCCTAAATGCCTCTCATTTGAGGGAGTCCATGGGCACCACACAGACAAATCAGTATTATGTGTTTGGTTAATTCCCACAGAGGCCATGAAGTGTTTTGTTCAAGCAATATTCCTACTGTCAGCAGAGTAACCAAAGATGCAAGCGTTCCACCTGTTTTTCAAACACAACCCCTGGTGGAAAAATGTTTGCTGTTAGATTTTTAAATTAATAGTTGCAGACGTTCGTGCTTGCGTCAGCAGAGCTTTTACTAAAGTTGGAACAATACAGAGAAGATTAACATGGCCCCTGCGCAGGAATAGTTGTAGAGTTTCTAACTTGTAACATAGCAATTATTTTTAGGAATTAACTTATTAATATTTCTCATAGAGTCTATCATTCAACCATAAAGCACACTGTTCTTCAACTGGGGTAAAAAGTTATATTTCATTTGTTTATAAATATCATCTGCTTTTAAAATATTATAAATATTAAAATATTTATTTCTTTAGTTTTTAAGTTTGTAACAGTATGTGCTCAACTAAGAGGATGTTGCTCTTTATTCCAGATTCCCTGGCTATTTTGTCCATCCTATGAGCTCTTCTTATTCCGCATCATTTGCATTTCTTCACTTGCCAGATTCCCATTTAAATAAAACATACATGAAGAACTGTGTAAGCAAGAAGTACTCCTATCCTAATCAGTCAGGCAATAAAGTACTTCACTTACGAACTAGAATAATACAAAAGCTACACACGTCAACTTGCTGGTTACAAGAGGTCCCTGGTAAACCTCAGCTGGAGCAAACCCCGAAAAAGCCCCAGGTGACAAGCCCTCAGCCCACAAAAGGACCTGGCATGAAGATTAAGGAAGAAAAGCGATCTTATAGACAAAGAATTATGGGTGAACTTAAACATTATTACAGTGGATTCTACTTGCTGTGGATTGACACCAAAGTTGCTGCCAGAATGGTTTGGAGGCTGTTGCATGGGCAGGTGCTGACCAGAAGAGAGAGACGAAGGGTAGGCAAGGATCATATTTGAGAAAGAAAATGTAAAGTGAAAATGAACTATATGGCAACCAAGTTTTAAACTCACCTGAAAATTCATCCTAAAAATCCCAAAGTAGGAATAGTAACTGATGGTGAGAACCAGAGTTTCTTATTCGTCTGAAACGGACTTACTGTGCAATTTTAGGCAAGATCTTGAGATTTGTGCATATTTGCCTCTAAAATGGTTATAATTGTGTTTTCTAATCTCCCCAAGGAATTGAGAAGCTTCAAGTTTGATCTGTGGACCCGCAATAGAAACTGCTGTTAATATATTAAGGATATGCATTTGAAAAATCAGTCTTTAACAGACGCTATGCTATTAAAGTACAGACCCCTGACATAGATGAAAGCTAACAATAGATGATGTCAGCAATATGTTTTGATTGTCATAGATTTCCTTGAAGGTATCCCATAGATGTTACTTCAGAGTGATGGTAAAGAGGAAAACCCTACCTTTCCATTTTATACAAAGCTGCAGAAAATCCGTCTAGGGTTTTTAACACTTTAAGGACCAAGGCAGGCTTTTTTTGTTTCATATTTTTGTTTGGGGCGTGTCCTAAAATAATGAATACTGCCTATGCATTTAATTCTTTAGCTCTTGAGGACTTGTGCTGATTTCTTCCGCCTGGTTCCATTTATGGTGTTCATAATTGTACCCTTCATGGAATTCTTATTACCGGCATTTCTGAAATTCTTCCCAGAGATGTTGCCATCAACTTTTGAAAGTGAATCCAAAAAGGTATGTAGGATTTTTTAACTTAAAAAAAAAATTAATGGACTCTATTCGTTAGTTTTTAAGTTTATAGAAAAATTGAGCAGAAAGTATAGAGGGTCCCCAGATACTCCCCCCATTTTCCCTGTTATTAATGTCTTGCATTTGTGTGATCTATTTGTTGCAGTTGAAGAACCAATATCGAGATATTATTAGTTAAATCTCATACTTTACATTAGACTCCACTCTTTTTGTTGTACTGTTCTATGGGTTTTGAAAACTGCATAATGTCATGGTATCTACCATCACGCCATCATACAGAATAGTTTCACTGCCCTAAAAATGCCCTGTGCATCATCTGTTGTTCCTCCTACCTCCCCCAGCCAGTGGCCACCACTGTCTCCATAGATCTGCCTTTTCCAGAATGTCATATAGTTGGAATCATACAGTGTGTAGTCCTTTCATGGATCATTTCTTTTCTATCACTGCATAATATTTCATTGTATGGATGTGTCACAGGTTGTTTATTCACCTGTTGAAGGGTATTGTGGTTGACTCCAGTTTTTGGCAATTATGAATAAAGCTGCTATAAAGATCTGTGTGCAGGTTTTTTTTTATGATCATAAGCTTTCAACTCATTTGGAGTCCTAAATACATAGGAAAGCAATTACTGGATCATATGGTAAGACTATGTTTAGTTTTGTAAAAAATAACTGTCTTCCGATGTCTCTGTACCATTTTTCATTCCCACCAGCAATGAGAGTTCCTATAGCCCTGTATCTTCATCAGCATTCAGTATTGTCAGTGCTTTGAATATCAGCCATTCTTATAGGTGTGAAGTGATATCTCACTGTTATTTTAGTTTGCAATTCTCTGATAATGTATGATATTGAGCATCTCTTCATATGTTTATTCGCCACCTGTAGATCTTCTTTGGGGATGTATCTGTTTTTTGCCCACTTTTTAATGGAGTTGTTCATTTTCTAATTGTTAGGAGTTCTTAGTATATTTGGATACAAGTCCTTTAGCAGATATGTGTCTTGCAAATATTTTCTCCCAGCCTGTGGCTTGTCCATTATCTTAACTGTCTTTCACAGAGCTAATGTTTTTTATTTTAATCAAATATAAGTTATCAGTTGTTTTTGTTTTTGCATTGTACTTTTGGTGTTGTATCTAACAACTCACTGCCAAGTTCAAAGTCACCTAGGTTTTCTCCTACATTTTCTTTTTTTTTTAATTTTAAGTAGGCTCCACACCCAACGTGTGGTTTAAACTCACGACCCTGAGAGCAAGAGTCCCATGCTCTACTGACTGAGCCAGCCAGGCACCCCTCCTACATTTTCTTCTAGAAGTTTTATAGTTCTGAATTTTAAATTTAAGTCTATGATCCATTTTGAGTGAATTTTGGTGAGAGGTGGAACATCAGGGTTAATATTCATTTTTTTCTTTTTTGCATGTGGATACCCAAGTTTCCCTAGCATCATTTGTTGAAAAAACGATCCCCATTTCCATTGAATTTTAACTTGTTTTTAACCATTAAAAAATAAAGAAAACAAAAATCAACTGTTATTGCAGTGACTAGTTGAACAGTGGGCATGATTTAGCCAGACAGACCCTTTAGTGCTTGAGAGTAGTCCTGGAGAAGAGGGGTCCTCACTGGATGGTCACTGTGAAGGTGACGGGCTGGGAAAATTAAGGTGGCCCCTTTGTTCTTTCCATTCTGTGCCACTCCACTGGACAGAGGTCTGAAGGCATGAACACGTGATGGGAGGACGAACAGGACAACTCTTAAATCAGATTGGGAAATGTTTCCTAGAAGAGATAACTATGCAACCAAGACTAGAAGAGTGGTAGAATTTTGCCACAGCATTTGAAAGGCTTTCTGGATAGAAAGAGTAGCACTTAAAATGGCTTACTTATGTGAAAGAGTATCATATAATCTGAGACACTGAGCGCTTCTTTGTGGTTGGAGCAGGGAATACAAGGGGATCAATTGTGGAAGATGAGACAAAGTGATGTGTTGGGGTCAGGTTGGAAAGTGTCTACCACCCTAAGGAATTTAGACTTTGCCTTTGACTATGGTGAATAATGGAACGTAAATTTAAGCAGAGGGTGGGTAACACGGTTAGATCTGTATTTTAGAAAAAAATGATATTGCTGGCTGGCTAAAAGGATTGACGAGGGCAGAGCCAAAGGAGGGAAATCGGCTGGCATCCTCTTACAGTAGCACAGGAGAGAGAGGATTAAATTATGAAAGTGGCATTAGGAATAAAAATTTGAAGATACATTAGAGACACATGTAAGGGGTAGAATCAAATTGCAATATGTGACTGGCAGTGGTTTAGTTTACTTACATTTAAGGTAATCAGGACCTAGAATTAATACCATGGGATTCCAAGGAATGTGTTCGTGAATGCAGGAAGATGGGGGGAATAAAGGAAGTGATTTATCTAAAGATTCCTCTTTCCTCAACGCTGCTCGTTCCCCGGATATAATACATACACACCATGGCCACAGTTTTAGAAAATACGTTCTCTCTCTTTCTTTTCCATGGACTAAAACAAATGAGAAAATGAGAGAGAGAGAAGTGGTGGTGGAGGGGAGGAGGTTGTGGGAGGCAGAGTGGGAGGAAGCAGGACTTTGTATTTACGTAAGATCAGAGCACCCATGCATTTCTCTTTAGTAGTACTTATCTATTATACTTTAATTTGTGGAATTACTGGATTATCATTAGTCACTAATGTTTGTCTTTCCCGTTAGACCAGAAGTCCCATGAGGGCAGGAATTCTTACCTGTTTTTGCTCATTTTATCCCCAGCACCTAGTACAAGGTAGATACTCAATAAATAAATGAATAGATGGATGGATATGGATGTAGGAAATGGATGACTAAGTGGGTTCTAATGATGGTATTGCCATTGCCGTGTGTGATTTTTTTGGTTGAGTCTTTAAGATTTTTCTAAAAATTCATGATTGCTATGATTGACTAATCATTAGAATCTCTTGGGCAACTTAAAAAAAATAGAGAGAATCCCATTCCTCTCCATCCCCCTGAGTCCTGACCATGGTTATTATTTTTTTAAAGATTTATTTATCTATTTTAGAGAGGGAGAGCAAGCAAGCGCGTGAGCCAGAGGGGCAGACGGAGAGGGAGAGAGAATCCTGGGCAGACTCTGCACAGAGCATGGAGCCTGATGCAGGGCTCAATTTCATGACCATGAGATCACGACCTGAGCCGAAACCAAGAGTTGGATGCTTAACTGACTGTGCCACCCAGGCTCCCTTAACTGTGGTTATTTTGAAAATGCTACCACACTGCATGTCTGATAATAAATGAGGATTTAGAAGTACTCGTTAACATCATGTCTTAAGAGTATACATTTAGCCAGCACCTTGCTGGCTCAGTCGGTAGAGCATGCAACTCCTGATCTCCGGGCTGTGAGTTCAAGCCCCACCTTGGGAGTAGAGATTGCTTAAAAAAAAAAAAAAAAAAAAAGTACATTTAATTCTCTTTTGTGTAGTGCTTTGTTCATATCTGTTATAACACTTAAGTCGGTGTATTATAATTAATTGTATCTGTTTTGTACTGAAGCTATATGCTACTCTAGCATAGAGTTAATGTCCTAGTTTTCTTTGTTTGTGGCCCACACAAAATCTGGGACCAGGGGCTGGCTCAACTAGCAGCCTAGATGGTTTATACCAGGCTAAGAGATAGTATCTCATTCTAAATAATGACAAAGCTTCCACTGAGGGGATATTTTGGATCTATCAAATAATTATGGTCATTGTATTAGTAAGAAATAAAAGGTAAAATCAAGGAGTCAAGTTGCAAATAGAGGCTACTTTTTATTTGTTCTGGTTTTCACAAAACCCATTTAACTAGGTCTGAAAATAATATTAACATGCAAAATAGGGATGAACAAGAACAAAGTGACAATTCTTTTCCTCTCATCTTTATCTATGAAGTTGTAACCATGAAGGATTGATTAACTTTCTCCTCTTCTATTATTAAGGAGGAAAAACAGAAAAAGAAAATGGCTGCAAAGTTGGAACTAGCAAAATTTCTTCAAGAAACGATTACAGAAATGGCCAGGAGGAACAGGGCCAAGCTGGGAGATGCCTCTGTACAGTTCTCCTCCTATGTCAAACAGGTGTCAATCTTTTGTGTAACACACCAAACAACTGCTAGGCTGGCGGTTATATGAAAAATTCATGTCATTGTGGATCTTCCAGATTGTTCACAGTCTCTGACTTTGCAAATATCTGAGTTATACGCATGCAATGTTGCAAACATTTATAGTAGTGTGGGGGAAAACCTGCCTTAAAGCAGTCATGTACTGAAGACGTTAATAACTTTTTGGAAAGAACTGTAGATTTAGAGCCAAACTTTTGAACTACTCCTGATTTTGCAGTTGACTCAGGCTGACTTGGACAGACTTCTTTATGCCTCTTGGTATCACAGGGCCCATTTCCAGGCATAAGATAGAGTCTATGAATATGCTTTGATGTGTCTTTCAAATAGTCTACAGGGAAAGTTGAACTAAGAAATACATTTTATAATTTTTAAAAAAGATTTATTGATTTATTTTAGAGAGGGAAAGAGTGTAAGTGAGTGGGAGGGAGGGGCAGAGGGAGAGGGAGAGAGAATCTCAAGCAGACTCCCCTCTGAGCTCAGAGCCCAAAGTGGGGCTCCATCCCTCCACCCATGAGATCATGACCTGAGCCGAATGCTCAACTGACTAAGCCACCCCCGGAGCCCTATGAAATACATTTTAATTAACATCTTTGTCCCACTGCCTAGGTCCAGACAGGCCACAAGCCCAGCACAAAGGAGATAGTTCGCTTTTCCAAACTATTTGAAGATCAGCTAACCTTGGAGCACCTAGATCGACCTCAGCTGGTTGCCCTCTGCAAGCTTCTAGAGTTGCAGTCCTTTGGAACCAACAATTTGCTCCGCTTTCAACTTCTGATGAAACTAAAGTCTATAAAAGCAGATGATGAAGTAAGAGCTGAACTGTAGACACGGGGAATTAGCAAGGCTTGGGAGATCCCTTAGGGTGGCTTTGTGATAAAGTGTAGTATCTTCTCCTAGATCTGCTCATGGATGGGTTCTGCAAACCATTGAGTGGTTTAAACAATCATTACCATGACAATCTGAACCCAGATTACTCATTTTAGGAGTTGTTTGTCATACTCTGACGCATTTTCTGGAGAATGCCCTCATAAGCAGTTAGTGATTTAGTAATCTACATCAGTTAGGACCCACTAGGAAGGAACAGCCCCCAGGAGGTTCCTGAGTCTTCCATTGCTAAGGACAGTGCTCTACTCTCACACCTCAGCTCCCCTTCCTCAGAGCTGGTGCCAAAGTAAATATTCTGCTGGGTGAGTTGGCCTGATAAGGAGGGGTGGCAAGGTGTAATGCAGGGAGGGAGAGCCGAGCCTAGACATCTGATGGAGGAAAGGCATCATAACTACTAATTAGACTCCTTAAAAAATGGAAAGAATGTTTCTTGAATCAGAATCAGCTGCTTTAGAGCATTCTGCCTGAGGGAGCAGGATTCCTGGAACTGAGAAAGCACGATCCCTGTGGCCTCATTTAGATTTCAGCTGTTGCTTTCAGAATTTTGGAATAAACAATACTGGTCCCAGAAGTACCCTAGTTTTGGGTCACACCAAGCAGAAGCCGTGTTATGTATCGAGTGAATTTTGTGGACCAGAGTTAGGGCCATTCCCAGGTGGAGGTAGGGGGATGGTAGGGGAAGAGCGATTCCGGGACATCCAGCAAATGGTACCCCGCAAGCTTCTCAAGTGGAATATTTTCTAATGAATCCTGAAGGTGCCATGAAGGGGAAATGCACGTCAAGAGGGGAGAGGATTACTCTGGTGACAAAGTGTTGGGGAGGAGTTATGTGACTACTTCTGATATTATTAATACCGGTTGGCAGGATTCCCCTCATTTTCAGCTGCTGCCCCTTTAGTCAGCGAGAGGACAATCCGATGTGAAAGCATCAGATTTGGTGTTGACCCTGATTTGTTGGAATGTAGGATTCAGTAAAATTGGAACCAAGAGATCCAATGCCATTTCTTACGTTGCTTTCAGGTAATTGCCAGAGAAGGGGTGAGTGCTTTGAGCGTGTCAGAACTGCAAGCCGCCTGCAGGGCCCGGGGGATGAGATCCCTGGGTCTCACTGAGGAACAACTGAGACAGCAGCTCACAGAGGCAAGTTGCAGCTCTCCTGGGCCCTTTTTGCTAGAACTCTGTCCCCTGCGATTTGTAGACCTCACTGTGATTTCTACTTTTCAGGCGAGCCGTCCCACCTAATTTGCCTTCTTTAATTGAGCAGTGGGACGCTGAAGAAGCTAGATTTATTTTTGATGGAGACAGGGTACTCTATTAGTTTTCTTTCTTTTTTAAGTTTAAATTTCACTTACTTGACATACACTGCAATATTGGTTTCTGGCGTAGAATTTAGTGATTCATCACTTACGTACAACACCCAGTGCCCTCCTCATACCCATCACCCATCTAGCCCATCCCCCCTCCCACCTCCCTCCATCAACCCTCAGTTTGTTCTCTATCCTTAAGAGTCCCTTATGGTTTGTTTCCCTCTCTTTCTCCCCCTTCCCGTATGTTAATCTGTTTTCTTTGTTAAATTCCACATATGAGTGAGATCATAGGGTATTTGTCTTTCTCTGACTGACTTATTTCACTTCGTGTAATACACTCTAGCTCCATCCATGTCATTGCAAATGGCAAGATTGCATTCCTTTTGATGGCTGAGTAATATTCCATTGTGTGTGTGTGTGTATATATATATATATATATATATATATATATATATATACCACATCTTCTTTATCCATTCATCAGTTGATGGACATCTGGGCTCTTTCCATAATTTGGTTATTATTGATAATGCTGCTATAAACATCAGGGTGCATGTACCCCTTCGAATCTATTGCTGCTTAAACAATGACAACAAACTTAGTGGTTTATTAGCTTATATGTTCTGTCAGAAGTGCAGGCTGTGTTTTATCTGGAGGCTCTGGGGGAAGTCTCCATTTCCAGGCTCATTCAGTTTGTTGGCTGAGTTTAGTTTCTTGCAGCTGTAGGACTGAGGTCCCATTTCCTCACTGGCTGTCAGCCCCAGGCTCCTCAGCCCTGCAGGCCCCCTGCATTCCTCACCTCTAGGCCCCGTCCATCTGCAAAGCTAGCAAAGGAGAGCTTCTCAACACGAGGCCCCCCAAAGGCTTCACATCTCAGACTTCCCCTTTTTGACCTCTTGCTCCAGATTTAAAGGCTTCACGTGATTAGGTGAGACCTACTCAGATAACTTCCTGCTTTCAGATCTGCTGACTCGCGACCCTAATTATTTCTGCAAAATCCCTCACGGCAGCACCTAGATTCATGTCTGAATAACTGGGAGAAGGTGTGGGTACACTAGGGACTAGGAATCTTGGGACCACCTTAGAATTTTGCATACTCCAGGTATTTTAAGGGCCCCAGACAAAATCTCAAATCCAAGGCCTGTTGTGTATGAATCCATCTGGAGGTCTGAACCTTGCACTGAGGGCTCAGCTGGGACTACTTTCTAATTAGTACCCCAAGCCAATGTAAAGTGTTAGCTTTGGCAACAGATGTTTAATATTTTCCCACTGACAACATATTTTAACTAAGAGCATCAATGTTTTCTTTTTTTTTCAAGATTTATTTTAGAGAGAGAACGTGCACACATGAGTTGGGGGAGGGGCAGGGGGAGAGAATCTTTTTTTTTTTTAATTTTATTATGTTAGTCACCATACAAGAGGGGGAGAGAATCTTAAGCAGACTCCCCGCTGAACACGGAGCTAGATGTGGGGCTCAAGGCGGAGCTCCCACCTTGATCCCACAACCCATGAGATCATGACCCGAGCCAAAACCAAGAGTCGGACGCTTGACCGACAGAGTCACAGGCACCCCAGAGCATCAGTGTTTTCAAACAAGCAGTAACTCCTATTAAAATTCTCATTCTTGCAACTGTAGGAAATGCTATAAAGTATATACAAATTATTTTGGAATAGGAGCCACTGTTGTGACTTTGAAACTGTGTCAGTTAGCTATTTCCTTTTACCTGTTGGACCTGCTCTGGCTGGAAGATGAACATATTGTAGAGAAAGGTTCTTAAAATCATTTATTTTTTTGAACATAGAGCATTGAGTGGGTTCATACTGTCCAATAGCTTTCTTGAAAGAGTGTATCATTTTTCCCACCAAGGAGTGAGGATACTAATCCAGCCATATGATATTCGACACTGTGTATTATCCAGAAATTCCTGTGTTAGGATACAGGCAGGCATTTCATAGAAAGGAAACTCTAAGATGATAATCGTATGAAACATCTTAACTTCATAAGATAAATTAAAACTATGAGATATCACATTCACCTGTTACATTGGCAAAGATCAGTTTGATAATACACTGTGTTGTTGAGGGTTGGGGAGAGGGGCACTCATGCATTGCGGATAAAAAACCTCCATGGAATCTTTCAAAATTTAAAAATGCATTCACTTTGACCTAGAAATTTCACTTGTGCAATATGACATATCTATAAGATTATCCATTGCAGGGGCACCTGGGTGGCTCAGTCGTTAAGCGTCTGCCTTCAGCTCAGGTCATGATCCCAGGGTCCTGGGATCGAGTCCCGCATCGGGCTCCCTGCTCCGCGGGAAGCCTGCTTCTCCCTCTCCCACTCCCCCTGCTTGTGTTCCCTCTCTCGCTGTGTCTCTCTCTGTCAAATAAATAAATAAAATTAAAAAAAAAAAGATTATCCATTGCAGCACCATTTATAATAGCAAAAGATTGGAAACAGCCTAAAGTTCATAAATAGGAGAATAATCAAATTATGGCCTTTCCGTGCAACAGTGGAATCCTTTACAGACGGTTAAAAAGGAAGCAGCTCTACAGCTACGGGTATGAATCAATGTCCAGGACATTTCAGTGAAGAAAAGCAAAGGACAGAACAGTGTGTATAGATCGCCCTTTATGTGAAGATAAGAAACATACAAGTGTTCGTATGTGCACAGGATATCTCTGAAGATTATATAAGGAACTGGTAACAGTGGTTGCTTCTAGGGAGGGAAACAGGGTAAAGGATAGGAGTAGAAGACAGGCTTATTATTGATTATATTTTATTTACTTCTTGAATTTTGTCTCTTGTCCAGTATCTACCTATCTATCTATCTATCTATCTATCTATCTATCTATCTATCTATCTATCTATCTATGTATTTATTTTTTTAAAAGGTTGGCCAGTTTGATACTTGAAAATTATACTCATTCTCATTTTAATGTTTCTTTCTTTGGTTATGAGTGAGTCTTATTCTTTCCCCTTATCTGCTCTGTGTCTAAGAGAAGATACTTAGCTCCTTTGATCCACAGTCGATTTGAGAGGTGACTGGAATGCTCCCCCTCCAACTCAGAGGATCCCACTGTCGCGAGGGGGGATGCAGACTACAGCCACTGGTGCTGAAGCCAGGAGACTAGTGTTCCCATCCTTGTCCTGCTGCTGGTTCCCAGCACGTGCCTGGGGAAGCTGTGAAACCAGGGAAGCAGTCGGTGACGGTGGGTCATGTCCAGTTCTAACATGCTGGGGTTCTGTCCTGTTTTATTCTCCTTCAATTCTCCAGTGGCAGGACCTCCACCTGAAGGAGAACGTCCCTCCTTCTCTGTTGCTTCTGTCACGAACCTTCTACCTGATAGATGTGAAGCCAAAGCCGATTGAGATACCACTAAGCGGGGAGGTGAGTGCCCAGGATCTGGATTTCCTTAACTGGGGCCTCTCCACAAATGTCTTATTTCCTCTTACAGTTAAGGTAGACATTTCTTTTGGAATATCTTTTGGCATTTGGTCCAGTGGGCTTTAAAATCTTTAAAAAATTCCATAAAAAAATTAAAATTGCTAAAACTAACTCTAGCTATAGAGCTCTTACTGTCTTTGTTCCAGCTCGATTTAGGAATCCAGTTTATTCTTTCTCCTTAACTATCTAGTCTTCATTAGCAGACTCTTGCTCTTCTGAAACTGAATGGTTCCTCTTCTTTCGTGTCTATTTCATTTGTCCAGATTCCTATTAATTTTGAAGCAGTGAAAGGCCAATCTAGAATATAAACTTTTTGTCTTCCTTCCACTCATTTCCTTAATCATTTTTTGTTGCCTTTAATTCAACAGCTTTTTTCCCCCCCTCCTGGCATTTTACCAAAAAGCTCAGGATTAGCCCAATCACTAGAGCATCTTGCTCTGGCAGAAGGGGCCTCTCACCTCTCTACTTTGTGGCTTCATGTCTAAGTCAGAATCTGTATGAATGAGAAAGGAGAGACCATTGTGGAAGATGCTGCACATGTGGTTTAGTAGATGAAACTAAGTTCTCTGAAGTGGGGACCCATCATTTTTAATTTAGTTATGCTAGTGACTCCTTGGACAAGCCAAAGGAAATGATATGAAGTCCAGCATGACAAATGTACTCCAGGGAACACCCTCATGCTTTGCCTTTCCATATTTCCAGAGACTAATCAGATTTGGGCTTTGTCTGGGAAGGATTTGAGGGAGAGTGGGAGCAATTTTGGAACCCAGACCATCTTCTAAAAGGCAGCCTACCTGGTTCTTACTCTATCTTTGGTCTTTAAGACAGACCAAATTTGTCATTCTTAGACTGTTCTCAGAAGCAAGGAAATCTTGGAATAGCACAATATCTCAGAGCTAATTTTGTGTTCTCAGAATTATTCTAGAGGGGCATAAACACTTCAGCCAGATGTTGCTTTTTGGAATGTTTGAGAAAGACCTAGAAATTAAGGACAAAATGACAAGCTCCTCGGCATTTTATTGGTTGTTTTTTTTTTTTAAACCACATTTTTAAACTTCTGTTTTCCATATATACAAAATGAGAATAAGTAGCATGCTAGGTTCAGTAAAGAATTTAGAGACGTCAAGTTAAATATACTTTAATTTTGGATATATGTAGCTCTTTCCCCTCCCAAGTACACAAAGCAATTACTTATTTCCAAAGAGCAGTGACATATTTACTTTTTAAATCTAATTATAATTCTTGAAGATAGGTTAGCTAGCTATTCTCAAAATACCATGTCTTCCATTTTCCTCATGTTGCAGGAGCTTCTATTAAGCAGCACCTACCATTTTAATAAATCAGAAAAACTTATCATTTATTATTAGACACCAAAAATGATAAAGATGTCAATTTTGAGTAAGTTATATCAATGCTGTTAGAAGCTGATGAGTAATTGAGAAAAGGCAACCTTCTTTTGTCAGACTGAAAACAGGACTAGAATTGGCAAATCAGGAGCTTGTTAATGGCTGAGGACTTTTTTTTTTAAATTTATTTTTTAAGTAATCTCTACACCCAACACTGGACTCGAACTCACAACCCTGAGACCAAGAGTTGCATGCTCCACCAACTGAGCTAGCCAAGCGCCCAGACCGAGGAGTTTTAATACTAGAATCTCATTAGAGTGCAACTTTTGTATGTAGGGAGCTCAAAACTCCAAGATAAATAATACTAAGTTGTTCCTTCAGGGACATATTTCATACGTTCTCCTATAGGGCATAGTTGGAAGAAGTTAGGGATTTAGTGAGTGGAAAGCAAGTTGTGCTAGAAAGCATTAACTACTGTAAAAATGCTTTCGAGTTTCAGGAATAGCAGAAAGCTGATGTTCTTATAAAATACTTCTCTTCCTAGTCTCCAAAACCAGATATTCCTGTGGAATCACCTACTTCTCCTGAATCTAAAGAGACGCTGGTGGATTTAGCACCTTCACTGAAGGGAACTAAGGTTAGACTATTACTTTTCATTTGATTAATTAGGTTTAAAAATGAAAATAAGTTAATTTATCCATTTTTACCTCTCTTAGTGAAACTGAATTTCAATACAATGGTGTTCTTTAATCAGGACTATTTATTGTACTATCAGATCTGTTTCTTAAAAAGGTCAACATTTGGCTCTATGTAATTAGGTTCCAGATTTAGCCTCTTGAACCTGTGAGGGAAGATGTGGTTGTTTCACGCTCCTGGTGGTCACGGCAGTGTGACTATAGATCGAATACCCATTTTGTTTTAAATCAGTAACCCAACTCTCAGTTCTGCTGTTCAAGGATGAAGAATTTATACAGCTGCCGCCCGTTCCCTCGTCCCCCACAACACCATCAACGCCTATCCCATTACCTAAAGGACCCATCACTTCTGCTAAAGAAGCTGTAAGTATCTGAAAAAAGAACACATTTTGTCTCTAGTTATTTTTAAGGGCAGTGAGAATCTAGAGTTGTTACTATTGCAAAACACCTCATGCTTCTTCCTGTTATCCAAACAGGAAGTTGTAGGCTGAACTTTCGTCGTTTTATAACCACTACATTTTAAAAACTCAATTATCCAAAAGCAACCCCCCCCCCAAAAAAACCCCCCAACTTATCAACCAATGCAGTTGTGGATGAGGCCTAAACATGTGAAGTCTAGAAGCTAATTACAATATAGGCAGATTCTTATTTTCTTTTGTGCCAGATGGAAATAGTCCCCATATGTTGTGTATTTCACACAGGCTTCAAATGTCAGGAAATACTAGCAGGAAAGCAATTTAAATCTTAGGAGAAATGTATGTAAATAAGAAATTACTTATCTATCTGCTTTTCCCGTTTGGATGAAAGAATTTGGGGCGGGGGGGGTCATGGGAGAGTTCGACCAGCTCTACTGGCCTCCGAGGGCCGAGGAAGAGAGCTGGCCAACACGCAGACGCCCTGGGGTGGACACCCGGGGTCCTTGCTGGCAGGTCGTCTTAATTTTTATTATCGAGGTGAGTTGCATCCTTGGATTTGACTTTGTGGTCTGTCATTATTTGATTAAGAAAATAGAAAAGGGACTCCTGAGGAGCTTCCACATCTCACTGCGGGCAGTGCCTAAAGTCCTTACGTTTTGTACCCAGACGCTCCAGGCCAAATCACAAAAGACAACACAGAACAGCAAGGCGAGTTCAAAAGGAGCATAAGGACCAGCGGAGGATGAAGCTCACTGTCGTCAGCTCCTGCCCGCAGTGGTGGCATCCATATAGGACCGCCCAGCTGAGACGCTCTGTGTCTGGTTTAAGCAGAGGATCAGCCATGTCGTCCTTGGGATAGGCCTTTGAGGCCTTGTACCTGTTCCAGATGATGTCAGCAGTGAGACCAAGTTCAGACCATTTAGAAATATAATTGCAAAGCCAACTTCCTCTGTACCATGATGTTATCCCACTAAATTGTGTGTAAAGCCCCCTCCCCATGTTATTTTTGAACAGCTTTGTATTCCTGTGCGTGTCCTTTAAGGGAGGAATTTTTTTTTTTTTTCTTTTCATAATGGAATCAGCCTGGCACCTTAGATTCCTCGAGTAAGGACTTGGAAACTCCAAAACCATTGTGAGACCACCTAACTTTTTCAGGGATCCATCAGTAGGAATAGTGCCCTGGAAGCAAAGCACCTTAATGAGATGGAATGGAGGTACTCCCCAGTAAGGCCTTTCTGGATCTGAAGAAGAAAAAGCTTTGTGGAGAAGAAAACGGGGAGCTCGGCAGACTGGTGATCAGCAAGGCCTGGCTGGTGCTTGGCTGTTGGGAGGCCCTGCCTTGGGGCCTGCGGGGGCTGCAGGATCTGGGAGGCTGCCACTACTCCGGGATGCAGGGCTTTCGTTAGCCACCATTTTTCCAGGAAACATAATTAAGGGTTTAAGACTTAACCATTTGTCTGTGCTGGGTGTATGTTTTCCTGGTCTGTTTGTCTTTCACCAACAAGACCATTTGTTAGTCATCGGGGTGGTTAAAGTCTGATATAATCCCTTTTGCGACCAAGTAATGAGTATTATGTTCAGATCCTTATGTTCGGTGTTTTCAGGATGGTCAGTCCTGAGAAAACTTAACATAATACCTTGCCATGCAGCTGACCAACAGCTCTCTTCCCTCGGGCAGTGCTTAGAAAGAAGATATTTTGGCTTGTGGGTGATGAAATTGGTCTTCTCTGCTCGCTGTAAATTGAAAGCAGTTAGAGCGGAGTCATTTAAGCCAAGCGCAACCCCAGTCTCCCTCTCTGGGGTCACCCAAGGGAGGACTGTCGTTGGCACTTCCCAGCAAGGATCTGTACTTGACAATGTTTTTTAGGCCTCCTCTCCACCTTGAGGAAAAGCCCGACCGTGGCCTGCTAACGAACTCCAGTTCCTCGAGAATGATGAATCCCTACTATGCAGCGTTCAGTGGATCTCGCCATTGGCCTAGCAAGGTGATTCACAATAAATTCTCCCATTTTTAAAATGATGGGTGTTTATTTTAATTAGCTCACATTTCAAGTGTTGAATGTGGGCAAGGGCTTAGCTGCTTAACTTGTTCAATCCTGTTTTAGCTGAATGATTCATAAGTACTACTGGGCTGTTCTACAGTTCTTTCTGGCTTTCCCTACAAGGCGGAGTGGGAATGCTTAGGGCAAGGGGCCCCTGGTCACTTCTGGCCCCAGCTGGCCCTCACCCACTTTTTTCTACATCTAGGCATCTGAGACACTGGACATACCCTTCTTCCCATTCTTAGGACAGTAGCTCAGAGAAGTCTAGGATGTTTCTTTGGTCTCATCACCTAGAGCTCTTGGCTGTTGGGCTCTGTAGGATTGTTACATCTAGGCCCGCGCTGAAACCGAGCTAGTGGTGTTCTGGTAAACGGTTAACAACCGACTCTGGGTGGGGGACAGGAAGTGCCCTGATTGGTAGCATTTGACTTCAAGCTGCCAACAGGAGGTCACTGAAGAGTCAGGAAGAGGTGTGCACCATCAGCTCCAGCACACCACGGACCCCAGCCCTCCGTGAGTAACAAGAGACGAGGCGATCGCTGGCAGCATGTCCATTAAATGTCACTTTTACACTCCAACACAAACATCTGGGAGGCGGTGTCGTATACGTGGCCCTGAATGCTCTTAGGTGCCGGGCTGGAGAGAACTTGCCCCGGACTGACTCTTCCTGAACAGCTGGGTTCTTGCTGACCTTCCGTCTCCCCAGCTCTCCCCAGTGGAGCAGTGGGGTGGGGGGCTAGGCTAGCTTGCTACAGAGCTTTCTCCTGCCTTGCAGATGCCTAGGCCCTCGCTGTGCCAACTGCTCATCTCCTCACTGGGTGTGGTTTTAGGCAGCTTCTAAAATCAGGCCTCGGTGGTGATGTCAGATTTGGCCTGCATCTCACACATAAGTTTTGCTACAACACGGAGGTGTTGGTGGTGCTTGGTATTTATGGACCCCACGCCTGTGCCACGTCTAATTCTGTACTTGTCATTACAATACCAGTCACATTGGTGACATCAAATAAATACACTGTAATGCTAAAGATTTCCCAGTCACCACCAGTTAGTTCACAGTAGGTGAGGTCAGACTAATGGAGCTCCGAAGGAGACTGGCGCATCATCCCCGCCCCCGCCGACGTTGACGGAGACCTTGGCCTGCTGTCGCCCCCCAGTGGCGGCTGACAGGCACCGCGGCTTCGCTGTCATGGAGACCGATTTCTTGCTTCGTCTGAGGTTCAATCTTTCTTACTTGAGGATCAATACAGTACATTAGTGGTGCCAAGGGACTGATGATCCCCAGTCTATGGCAATTAGAAAAAGGTGGAAAGGCAGTATTGATTAATGGTGTGATGATCCCAGGCCCTAATCTTTTAACCCTCCAAAACCAGACAGATTCAGTGCCTTGACAGCACGACGTCTTCATTAGATAAACTGGATTCCTTTCCTCAGGAGACCCAATCTGGTTATCTAAGTAAAACGGCCATTTCATTTTCCCTCAGGTCAATTTTACTATCTTTTATTTGACAGCCAGCTCAGTCTCTGGGGAAATTTGTGGGCGATTGGAGTAGTAACAGCAAGGACATCACAGTTATGGTAACAGTGCCTTGTAGTTCTCCAGCACCTTTCCCAAAGGCATGTTAAAAGCCCCTTATAGATCCTCCATCCACTCACACAACATTGTTTCAAGGGAGGGCTGAGGCGGAAGTGATCATCAGTATTTTACAAGGAAAGACACCACTCTACGGTCTCAAATCAAATGATTTTAAGAGCAGAAATTCATTTCCTGGCTCTGTTCACCAAATTACGCCTTCTTTAAACACAAACACAAACTGTAATATGTTGACAGACGCATATTTACAGAGAGACACAAGGATAAGAAAGAAGTTTACAACAGCGGCCAACACTGCAACTGCCCCCCAAATAGCTAGCTCAGAAAGGAAACTTAAAGCAGCAATCCCGTTTGCCCTGCAGAAATGAAAGCAAATCCGACTTTCTTCTGTATTTCGCAGTAATCCCGCAAAGAGTAAGCTTTTGGGGGGGGCAGAGTACTCGCAATTTCAGGGCTGAGGTTCTGAGGAGGAGAGATCCACATGTTGAGTGCAGTGATCACCAGCAGGTGGCAGAGAAAGAAAATTTCCAAGCAGCCAAACACCAAACATTCAGAGAATTTTTCCCCTTTCCTGGGGGATGGGGTGGAGTTTGTCCTGGAAGAACTATAGGAAACCAAGATCTGCGAGAGTTCTAGCAAATGAAGTCTGGTCACAGACACAGGAAGAATGGTGGGGTGGGGTGGGGGGGTGGGAGAAGCATGACCAGAGTAAGCTGGGAGACATGAAGCAAGGGGCCCGAATGTCAAACTGATCTTAGGTGACAAGTTTTCCTTCACATAGAAGTACAGACAAAACCGCACCCACATGAAGGGGGAGTTGCGTATCTGGGTTTGAGTTTCTGCAGGCCCTGGGTCCCCTAATCCGTAGCTTTCCTCTTAAATCCCTCTAGCTCTACCCCTTGGCTATTCCCAGGTAGGCCCCCAGCCCCCCTTCTGACCCTCCCACCCCACCCAACCCCACCAGTTTCCGCTGAGGAAACAATCTGTGGTTGAGGGTGGCGGAGCCTTGGCTCGGGGCCCAGAGCCTCGGGTGCACTGAGGTTCCTGCCCACCACACACGGTCATCTCTTCCCGCCTTTCCAAAAAGCATCAGAGCGGTAGGAGGTTTGTCCCGGGGGAGGTCCCGGTGCAAGACCTGAGGGGAAGCAGTTGTGAGGGAAGTGCAGGCAGCTGGGGCACCCTCGGGACAGACACAGCCCCAGGGCCCACGAGGCTCACTCCTTTCCAGCTGACATTCTCTCCCTTGTCCCCTGTCACACAGCCCATATAAAAATGAAGCAGCAGCAATTTTTATTGAGGGACCTAAACTGAAAATAGGTTTAGAACATAATTTAAAAAAATAAAACAGCAAAAGTAGCAAAAAATATATGACCTTTTTAAAAACATTTTCCTTTTTTTTTTTTCTTTTTTCTTTGTTTTTAATATATAGCAACTGATGCCTCCCAGCCACCAGGAGCATCTTACCCAGTGGGTTAATCTCTGGTAACGACCCTTTTAAAAAGACATGTAAATATATACTCAGATTTATACACTTTGTGTTTTCTTCATAGCTATGTACAAAGCCCCCAGTTTGGGGCTGAGCCCCAGGGCCACGACACTGCTCCCAGCCTTTGCCTCCCCAGCCTCTGGTACCAGGTATTTGGTCAGCAAAGCAAATTAGCATCGGAATTAATAAGCCACTGGCACCATCTATCTGGGGCAGAGGCTGCCCTCAGCCAAGGCCCAGAGCACTCGACCTCCCCCGGCTACGGCTGCAGCCCTGAGGACGAGGCCCCCGCCCCCAGAGCTCAGGCTTAGGGGTCCACGAAGCAGACAAAACCAACACAGGAAAGCTCCGTCAGCTCTCGCCCAGCTCTGGCCCGCATGCCTGCTCATCTCCCACTCCCCAGCCCTCCAGGCACTGCTCTGAAGTGGCAAGTAGCGGGGAGGGGTCTTGGTCCAACAAGGGGGAGGGGACGAAGTGGCCATGAGCAAGTACCTGCCTCTCTGCTCCTCTCTCACACAAGCAGGTTGTGAGGAGGAGGAGCAGGAGGAAGAGAGGTGAACTCCGTGGGGTAAAGGCCTCAGGTAGGCAGCTAGCTCCTGCCGGCACGAAAGGGGCAAAGGGGCAGGCAGTGAGTCCCGCAGGGAGGGCTGGGGGGTGAGGGACACAGCGGATGATGGAGTCTGGGCAGGGGGGCGGGGGTGCTAGTCAGCGTCGTTTGAGTCCGCCATTGGCAAGCTGGGCTGGGTGTCGGGGCAGACAGGGCTCCTCCGGCAACGGCTCATGAGAGAAGACCGAATCCTCCCCCGAGGAGCAGGTTGAGCTTCGGGTGTCGGGAAAGCTCGGAGAGTACTGGTCCAGGGGCACGGACAGGTCCAGGTACTCCTGTGCAAGGAGAGACAAGTGGTCTGGCATTCTCCGCCCCGCGGCAGCGCTCACTCACAGAGGTGCACCTCGCGGACGGCGACCGGAGATCTGGGATAGGACAGCCTCACCTGGTTGGAGGTCAAGGCCACAATGCGGTCCAGGTCTTCCACCAGCTGCTTGAAGGTAGGTCTCTGAGAGGGTACTGCGTGCCAGCAATCCCGCATCATCATGTATCTGGGAGAGGATCGTCGAGTCAGGGGAGGAAGGACCAGGCAGGGCTGCTTTATCAAGCTAAACCCCGTTCTCCTTCCGTTCTTCCCCCAGGGCCTGGCCCAGGACCTCAGGTGTCTTCCCATGCTTACAGCTCATTGGTGCAGTTACTGGGCTTGTCCATCCGATGACCCTCCTTCAGCAGCTTGAAAAGCTCCTCCACAGGCACGCCGGGATATGGGGAGCCTCCCAGGGTGAAGATTTCCCACAGGAGCACCCCAAAAGACCAGCTGTGGAGGAGCACAGAGCCACCGGGTCTTATGGGCACAGAGCCAGGCCAGCCTAGAGTCCTTTCCACCCCCTCCCCAGCATGTCATCCTGACCCCACCCCCCAGGGCGTCATCCTGACCCCACCCTCCCCCAGGACAGACGCTTACGGGGGGAAAACAGGGGCTAGTGCTGGCGCTCACACTGGCCTTTCAACCTCTACCAAGTGAACAAAGGAGGGGGACACATCCAATGTTTTGTTTTGTTCTCTCCGAAAGGGAAGGAGACCCCCGTCGATCTCGAGGGACATGCAGGACTCTACTGTGCTGGAATTTTCTATTCCACGTATCCCGGGCAATTGCCTCTTTCAAACTCACACGTCGCTCTGGTGGGTGTAGATCCGGTCAAACAAGGCCTCGGGAGCCATCCACTTCACAGGCAGCCGGCCCTATAAGCGGCACAAGGGATATTGGGGGTAGCCCAGGCCCGGGCGATGGGGGGACAAGCGGGGGGCACACACAGGACTGGACATGGGGAGGACACATGCTCGGCTTGTC